ATCCATATGCAGAAGAAGGAAATTTGATCCCTATCTCTCACCTTATATCAAAAACAAATCAAAATGGATTAAAGACTTAAGTCTAATACCTCAAAGTATAAAACTACTAAAAGAAAACATTGATGAAAATCTCCAGGACACTGGTCTGCACAAAAATTTCTTAAAACACAGGCAACCAAAGCAAAAAATGGACAAATAAGATGACATCAAGTTAAAAAGTTTCTGCACAGCAAAGGAAACAATCAACAAAGTGAAGAGACAAGTCACAGAATGGGAGGAAGTATTTGCAAACTACTCATCTGACAAGGGATTAATAACCAGAATATACAAGGAATTCAAACAACTCTATAGGAAACAATCTGATAATCCAGTTTTTAAAATGGGCTAAAGATTTTGATAAAAAAGACATACAAATGGCAAACAGGCATATGAAAAAAGTGCTCAACATCACTGATCACCAGAGAAATGCAAATTAAAACTACAATGAGGTATCATCTCACCCCAGTTAAAATGACTTTTATCCACAAGTCAGGCAGTAACAAATGCTACTGAGGATGTGGAAAAAAAAGGAGGAAATGGGGATGATTAATGAGTATAAAAAAAACAGAATGACGAAGACCTAGTATTTGGTAGCACAACAGGGGCACTGTAGTCAATAATAATTTAATTGTCCATTCTGAAATAACTAAAAGAGTACAACTGGATTTTCTGTAACACAAAGGACCAATAATAATTGTCCATTTTGAAATAACTAAGTACAACTGGATTTTCTGTAACACAAAGGACAAAGGCTTGAATGCCTGAATGTCCATTCTGAAATAATGTGGGTATCCAATTTTCCATGATGCAATTATTAAGCATTGCATGTCTGTACCAGAATATCTCATATACTCCATAAATACATAAACTATGTACCCACAAAAATTAAAAAATAAATAAATAAGGCCGGGCACGGTGGCTCACGCCTGTTAATCCCAGCACTTTGGGAGGTCAACATGGGTGCATAACCTGAGGTCAGGAGTTCGAGACCAGCCTGGCCAACAAGGTGAAACCGCATGTCTACTAAAAATATAAAAATTAGCCAGGCGTGGTAGCAGGCACTTGTAATCCCAGCTACTCGGGAGGCTGAGGCAGGAGAATCACTTGAACCCAGGTGGTGGAGGTTGCAGTGAGCCAAGATTGCACCATTTCACTCCAGCCTGGGTGACAAGAGCAAAACTCCATCTCAAATAAAAAAAAAGAAAATAAAAAAAGAATGCTATGGTCAAATGGCATAAGAATAAAATGCCATTTCTTGTTTTGTACCCTAAAAAAATGTAAAAATCCATCAAGTTGTATGTGTGTATATTTTTTAAAACTGATGTGTATGTGTATACCACAATATACTTCAATTTTTTTTTAATTTTAGAACTTCAAAAAAATATTTTTTCAGACAAATAAAATCAGAAAATTTGTCATCAGCAGACTTACATTGAAGAAATACTAAAGGGGGCCAGGCACAGTGCCTCACAACTATAATCCCAGCACTTTGGGAGGCTGAGGCAAGAGCACTGCTTGAGCCTTGGAGTTTGAAACCAGCCTGGGCAATGTAGTAAAATCCCATCACTACAAGAAAATTTACAAATTAGCCAAGCATGCTGGTGCACATCTATAGTCTTAGCTACCCAGGATGCTGAGGTAGGAGGATCACTTGGGCCCAGGAATTCAAGGCTGCAGTGAGCTATGATCATACCACTGCACTGCAGCCAGAGAGACAAAGCAAAACTTTGTCTCTAAATATAAAACAGAAATATTAAAGGGAATGTTTAAGTCAAAAGGAAAATGATCCCAAAGGGAAGTACATGAATGTGAAGAGCAGAGAAAATATAAATATGTGGGTAAACCTACATAAATAGGTACAATATATATATTGGGGTTTCAAATATATATGGAACTAAAATACATGACAGCAATGACCAAAAAAAAAAGGTAGAAATTGGGTAAATGGGAATTGGCAAAATATAAATTTACCAAGGATACATGTGGTAATCACCAGGGGAACCCATAAAAGAAGATAAAATTGGGAGGTATAATTTAAAATATTCCATTAATCCAAGAAAAAGCAAGAAATGAGAGAAAAATAACACAAAATGAGCAAAACAAATATAAAACAAAAACCTAATTATATTCTACTGAACAGGAAACATACCACATGTTTACAGAAAGCTAAAACTAAAAGGACAGAATAAGATATTTAATGAAAATACTAATAAAAAAGAGTTGGAGTAGTTCTACTAATATCAGATTAAGGAAAATTTAAATCAAAAAACACTAGAGATAATGGGAACACTCCATAATGATGAATGAGTTAATCACCAGGAAGATATAATAACTGTACATATGTTATCAGCAAAAACTGAAAGAAATTAAGAAATCCTCTCTCAGGAAATGACAGATCAAACTGAAAAAAACAGAAAGTAAGGATGTTGAAGATTTAAACAAGATTTTGAACTTGACCTAAGTGATATTTACAGAATACTGCACAGCAAATTTCAAAGGATTCCAATCATATAGAGTATGTGTTCTAACCACTTTTAAATTACATTATAATAATAACTCAATAAAAAAACAAACTAGAAAATTTTCTAAATGTTTAGAAATGTTTTTAATGGACTTTAAATTCATAGATCAAAAAATAGAGATTTAAAATCACACTGTATTTTAAGCAAAAAATATATACATATATATGACATATCAAATATGTCTGCTATAGCTAAAAATATATAGCCTTAACCACAGATTTGAAAAGAAGGGCTAGATATCAATGCTATTTCAAAAAATCAGAAAAACAATAGCAAGTTAAAACCAAAGAAAATATTATAAAGTGCAGAAATTAAAGAACCAGAAAACAAATCTACAATAACAAAATTCAAAAGGCCAAAAGTTAATTCACGGAAAAGATAATAAACTGATAAACCCCTAGCAAGAAAAGTTTTAAGACAGAATTGATCAATACAGTAATAAGTTTTAAAACTTAGATGAAATGGATAAACCTAGCAAAACCTAGCAAAACTAATACATATATACAAGTCATTTTATTTCCATTAAAGAAATTAAACATATTATTTAAAACTTTTTCACTAGCAACCTCTGGTCTCAGAGGCTTTACCAGTTAAGTCTTGTAAGCATATGAGGAAAAAAATAACAACAATCTTCACTAACTCTTCTGGAGAGCAGTAAAGGGGGGAACATTTCCCTCTTCTTGTAAGACCAGCAAAACCAAGATACCAAAATCTGATCAGAACATTCGAAGTAGGAAAATTACAGGCCAATTTATCTTAAGAACATAGGTGCAAAGATCCTAACAACACAGAAAAAACACATGAAGTCCATTGGTACATACAAAGGGGTAACATATCACAAGCCAATTGGGCTTATTTTAGGAACGCAAAGATTGTTTAACATGTGAAAATATAACAGCATAATTCAACACATTAATAAAGTAAAGGAGAAAAACCATGAATGTCCCAAAAGATGCAAAGTATTAATAAAATTCAACAAAATTCCTAATTTGAAAAGTATAACAAGGTATAAGATCAATAAAATTAAATTATACTCCTAACTACTACCAAGAAAACAATTAGAAAATGAAATTTCACAAACAATTCTAATTAAAATAATATCAAGAATATCACATATCCAGGAATAAATCTGCTGAAAGATGTGGTCTTCTATACTGAATGAACACTACCAAACAGTATTGAGAGAAATTTATAAAGCCCTAAATAAATGGAAGAATATACCATGTCTATGGATTAGCGAATTCAGTAGTATTGTTAAGATGCCAATTAACTGCAAACTGATCTCCAGTTTCAATACAAACTTAACCCAAATTCCTAGAAAAGACAGACAGAGTGAGTGTGTGTGTGTGTGTGTATGTGTCCGCGTACATGTATGTGTATTATTATTTTTTTTTTTTTTTGAGACGGGGTCTTTGCTCTGTCACCCAGGCAGGAGTGCAGTGGCCAGATCTCAGCTCACTGCAAGCTCCGCCTCCCGGGTTCACGCCATTCTCCTGCCTCAGCCTCCCGTGTAGCTGGAACTACCTGCGCCCGCCACCTCGACCGCCACCTCGCCCGGCTAGTTTTTTGTATTTTTTAGTAGAGACGGGGTTTCACCTTGTTAGCCAGGATGGTCTCCATCTCCTGACCTCGTGATCCACCCGTCTTGGCCTCCCAAGGTGCTGGGATTACAGGCTTGAGCCACCGTGCCCAGCTGTGTATGTGTATCTCTACGAGTGAGTAGAAACTGAAAAACTGATTCTAAAATACTATGAAAATATCCTCTAGGAGGCCAAGGCAGGCAGATCACTTGAAGTCAGGAATTCAAGACCAGCCTGACCAACACAGCGAAACCCCGACTTGACTAAAAATACAAAAATTAGCTGGGCCTGATGGCGGATGCCTATAATCCCAGCTACTCAGGAGGTTAAGGCAGGAGAATCACTCGAAGCCGGGAGGTGCAGGCTGCAGTGAGCCGAGATCACGCCACTGCACTCCAGCCTGGGCAACAGCGGGAGACTCCATCTCAAAAATAAACACATACATACATACACAAAATAAAATACTATGAAAATATCAGGGGAGGAGAGATGGGAGAGGGGTAGAAAAAGGAAGTCGGAGTTATACACACTACCAGGTATCAAGATTCCTTATATACTAGAATAAGACAAATAAATAGACCAACAGAACAAAAGAGTCTAGAAACACACTCATATTTACATTGATATATGAAGTACATATGAAAACATGATCTTAAAAAAAAATTCCAAGTAGAAATATTTCATTCAACACTTTATTTTCTGAGCAATTGTATCAATCACAACAGCACAATCAATCACATCAATCACAACTTAACAAATATTGTTTAACAAGTAACAATACTTGCTAATTTCTCTCACAACTGTGTTCCACAGCTACCAAAACAATTAGCAGACCTTCTATCAAATCTTAATCTCTTACCTCCCCAAAAGCTCCTCGACCAATCACCTTTAATATTTCAAAGTCTTCTCTATGTAATCGCATTTGTTTCACTTTAGAAGTAAATGGTTTAGCTGAAATGAAAGAGCAATATCAATTATTTTCTTAATAAAATGTGATGCAAATTAGATATAAATAATGGTGTTTCTTAGTTACACAAAAATTCAAATTATTATTTAAGAATTGTCAAAATATTTAAAAATTCCAAACTATATGAGAATAAACAAATTTGATTTCCCTAAGAAAACAACATATTTTCTTTTATTTCTTACATATGAATTACATTTTTGGTGAGAAATATATGTTTAAACTCCAAATAACATATGAAAGAATGCAAAGCAAGGGGGATGTAAAAATGAGACTAGTTTTAACATTCTATCAGCATTAAATATATATTTTAACACAAATGTATAAAAAATAAAAGCAGATTTCACAGCACCAGAGAGCTCTTCAGCAATTCACACCAAGTAAATTCATATTTCTTTCACATTCATTTGTTCTTTCAAAATGCTTCAGCAAACGTCTACAGTATACAAAGCATGGTGGCAATGACTGGAGTTTTTAAAAAGTTGATTATGGATATGATACTTTCCTTCAAGAAGCTCTTAGTCTTCATTCAAGAAAGACAAGTATGCATATATGCAGACACAAAATTTAATAATGTGATAAAGTTTTAAGTGCTTCAGAATTAGTGAGAACACTAATTATGTGGATACTAATGCTTCACACAAAGGAGATAACAGATAAATTGAACCTTGAGAACTAAATAGAATCTTGCTCCTTTGCCTGGGTTTGACTGTGTAGATACTCCAGGCAAGAGGGAACAATATAAGCAAATGAAGACAGGCAAGGAAGTGAATTTGGGGTGTTAATGGTAAATAATCCATGGTAAAGAATTGTGAGAAGAAATGCAAAGAAATAAGAGCTAGAAAATGGAAAATGCTTTGAATTTCATTAAAAGAAATTAGATGCAATCTTATTAATATTTTAACTGGTAAATTAAAATTTGCTAATGATTAGAGCGATTATATATTCTGCTGCCTGTAAGAGAAGTTTAGACGTGTCTCCTTTCCTCTCCTCGGGTCTGTCTTTCACAAAAAGGAATTGATATGATTAAAGGATCATAATACATGGATGTAGCTGTCTTCTCCTCTCTTCCTTCCATGGAGACAGAGTGTGATAAGATCAAAGATATGTATTTGAGCATTAGGGGAGTGAAACAGATAGGTCATACAGTTTGCTCTGATCTAGAAGTATGCATTTAGCCCTACCTAGCTTCGAAAACGGGTATTCCGCACTGCTTAGTCAAGTCTACTAGAGATTTCTGTATTCGTGTTTTGTAAGGAAAGGAAAGACAGAGAGGATTTCCATGTGGAATTCACATAACAGTGAAGAGAAAGAGAAAAAAATTAGCTGAACGTGATGGCACACGCCTGTAGTCCTTAGCTACTCAGTAGGCTAAGGCAGAAGGATAACTTGAGCCCAGGTATTCGAGGCTGCAATGAGTCATGATCATACCACTGCACTCCAGTCTGGGCAAAATAGCAAGATCTGGTCTTTTGAAAAGCAGTAATAACAGAATTAATAATAACAAAATTCTATTTGCAATAGCATTCAAAAGAATAAAGTACTTAAGGATAAATTTAACCAACGAGGTGAAAGACTTGTACACTGGAAACTACAAAATATTGCTAATAAAAATTAAAGAAGACTTAAATAAATGAAAAGACATCCAGTATTCTGGATTGGAAGAAGACTTAATATTGTTAATATGATAATATTACCCAAAGCAATCCACAGATTCAAAGCAATCCGTATCAAAATTACAATGGCATTACAGAAATAGAAAAATTCATCCTAAAATTCATATGGAGAGACAGAAAAGACAACCCATAGAATGGGAAAAGTATTTGCAAATCATGTATCTACTAAGGAATTAATACCAGAATATATAAAGAACTCCTACAAGTCAACAACAAAACACCCCAATTCAAAAATGGGCAAAAGTTTTAATAAACATTTCTCCAAAGAAGATAAATAAAAATGAAAAAAGAATGAGTTTATGTCCTTTGCAGGGACATGGATGAAGCTGGAAGCCATCAGTCTCAACAAACTAACACAGGAACAGAAAACCAAATACCACATGTTCTCACTCATAAGTGGAAGATGAACAATGAGAACACATGGACACAGGGAGGGGAACAACACACACCAGGGCCTGTCAGTGGGTGGGGTTCAAGGGGAAGGAAAGCATTAGATAAATAACTAATGTGTTGCTTAAAACACAGATGATGGGTTGATGGGTGTAGCAAACCACCATGGCACATGTATACGTATGTAACATACCTGCATGTTCTGCACATGTATCCCAGAACTTAAAGTAAAATAATATATACATGTGGTGAAGATATTAAAAAATGGCCAATACACATATGAGAAGATACTCAACATCACTAATCATTAGGGAAGTGCAAACCAAAATCACAATGAGATACCACTTCACAACCTCTACAATAGTTGAAATTTTTTAATTAATTAAATAAAACAAAAAATAACAAGTGATGAGGATGTGGAGAAACTGGAACCCTCATACATTGTTAGAGGGGATATAAAATGTTACAGCTGCTTTGTAAAACAGTTGGGTAGTTCCTCAAAAAGCTAAACATAGATTTACCAACATATCCCAGCAATTCCATCCCTATGTACCCAAGAGAATCAAAAGAGATTCAAACAGACTATCTGTACAATTACGTTCATGGCAGCATTATTCACAGTAGCCAAAAGGTAGAAATTATCCAAATGTCCATCAAGAGATGAAGAGATAAACAAAATTTTCCTCCCCTTGGATCCCACCCCCGACAGGCCCTGGTGTGTGTTGTTCCCCTCCCTGTGTCCACGTGTTCTCATTGTTCATCTACCACTTATGAGTGAGAACATGTGGTATTTGGTTTGTGTAGCTCACAAACACACACACACAACAGTATGTTAAGCAGCTTTAAAATGAAGTTAAGGTATGATACATGCCATAATGTGGATGAATCTTGAAAACATGCTAAGTAAAATAAGCCAGGCATTAAAAGGCAAATATTTCACTTATATGAAATATCTAGAATAGGCAAATTCATAGAGACAGAAAGTAGATTAGAGGTTACTAAAGGCTGGGGGACAGGAGAATGAAAAGTCAGGGCTTAATGGTTACAGAATTTCTTTGGATAATGAAAACGTTTTAGAGACAGATAGTGATGGTCATTACATAACATTATAAATATAAATTTATGCCACTGAACTGTACATGTAAAAGTGGTCAAAATGGCAAATTTTGTTATTTTACCACAATTTTTAAAAATTAGTAAGATATCAAAACCACTGAATTGTACACTTCAGACAGGTGAATTGTTTGGTATGTCAATCACGTCAGTAAAGCTGTTTTAAAACAAAATAGGAAGATGCTGGGCACAGTGGCTCATGCCTGTAATCCCAACACTGTAAGAAGCCAAGGCAGGTGAATCACCTGAGGTCAGAAGTTCGAGACCAGCCTGGTCAACATGGTAAAACCCTGTCTCTACTAAAAATACAAAAATTAGCTGGGCGTGGTAGTGCGTGCCTGTAATCCCAGGTACTTGGGAGGCTGAGGTAGGAGAATCACTAGAACCCCGCAGGTGGAGGTTGCAGTGAGCCAAGATTATGCCACTGCACTCCAGCCTGGGCAATAGAGTGAGACTCTGTTTCAAATTAAGGAAGGAAGAAACCCTTTTTAAAAATTACACACAACTTTGACAAGGTGGGTGAAACCTTTTTTAAAAAAATTACACACAAGTTTGACAAGGTGGGTGATACATACAGGCCTATTAGAACTAAAAATGGGGCCGGGCGTGGTTGTTCATACCTGTAATCCCAACACTTTGGGAGGCCAAAGCAGGCGGATTGCTTGAGTTCAGGAATTCAAGACCAGCCTGAGCAACATGGCAAAACTCTGTCTCTACAAAAATACAAATATAAAAATGGGCCAGACACGGTGGCTTGTGCCTACAGTCCCAGCTGCTTAGGAGACTGAAATGGGAGGGCCACTTTAGACCAGGAGACGAAGGCTGCAGTAAGCCTAGATGGCGCCACTACACTCCAACCTGGGCAACAGAGTGAAACCCTGTCACAAAAAAAAAAAAAAAAAAAAAAAAAAAAAAACTAAAAATGGGAGCCTGACTATCCCCCCAAATAATTATAACACCAACCTTCCATACTTAAAAGAAGCTTTGATTTCTACTATATCACAAAATCACAAAACAAAGGTATCCTTAAACCGAAACCTAGTTCCCCTACTCAGGCTAAATCAGAAATTCAGGAAAAGTGCGCTGTAGAGCTGACATTTCAGGTAAATTATACCTACTGATTATTCTAATTTGGGGTAAATATGAACATGGAACAATAAATATTAAAAAATATTAAGTGTCTATAGAGGGGTATATAGTTATCTTGTCATATGATGATACCCTAAGTAGTATGAAGAAAATGAACCAAAACAATGCTAAGGGTTATAAAAATCATTACTGAGTACTGCATTCATAATGTCTGAGATAGTTTAAAAGATGCCTTAACAAGTTACAGCTGAGAGTTCAGAAATTCAATGATAGAACCAAAAGAATCATGTATCAATTACCTGAATATTTCTTATTTCTATACTGCATTTGAAAAAAAAACTGATTATACATTCAACTTATTCCCGAAAAAAGTTCATTAGCAATATTTAACAAAGTGCTTTTATACAAAGATATATTCTAAAAAAATATATCCACCAAAACGTCCATTTCAAGCACACTGTATGATTAAAATAATTTTGAATATAAAAGACAAATTGCAAAAGACTTTATATTCACTACAACAATTGAAAAAGATAATAATCACTACACTACTGCCCTTGACAAAAATCAAGGACATATAAGGGACCAATCAGATCTGTTGTACTGGTAGATAAATGACATGCTATTCTGAATATGCTATCAGTGTTATTTCACAAAGTACTACATCATCTCATGATAACAATACCTTTACTTTCTTCAGTGCTGTACACTTA